GGGGGGGGATCAATGGCAGTGGTGCAGCGGACGCGTAACCACAGACAATGACCCTGCCGTGCCGCAAACGCATGCACAGCCAGGCACTCTGCTCGGGTTGCAACGCCACAAAAAAAAGACGCAATTTCTCGGGTGCACGTTGGTTTGCCCGGCCCCCCGCCGCAAGCCCTGCGAAACCTCCTCAGGCGAGGCCCCCACCTCGTCGACGTCGTCCTCCATGAGGTCGGGGTTCTCCGCCCGCCGCCTGGCGCGCTCCAGGTCCTTCTCAATGTTCTCCCGGATGGCGGTCTTGCAGGCGCGCTGGCAGATCTCGGTGATGTCGGCGCCCGAGAAGCCATGGGTGAACCTGCGGGGACGGGAGGGGATGGGGGGCGCGGGGAGGGCAGTCGTGGCGTGCGTGCGGCTTGGAGGAAGGCTGTGCGTTGACGCAAAGGAGGGGGAGTGACAGGTGCTGGTGACAACCGGGTATGCAGGGGGCCTCAACAGCACCACTTGAAGCTTTGCTTATGCAAAAAAACTTGCCGTGCTCCCAGGCCCCCGACAGCGGGGCCGTCGCGCAGCCCCGCACCTGACGAGGGTGTCGAACTCGACGTCCGGCGCGATGGGGCTCTTGCGCAGCACGCTCTTGAAGATCTGCGCGCGGCTCTTGTCGTCCGGCAGCGGGATGTAGATGAGCTGGTCCAGGCGGCCGGGGCGCAGCAGCGCGGGGTCGATGATGTCGGGGCGGTTGGTCGCGCCGATGATGAACACCGTCTTCTTGCTGTTCATGCCGTCCATCTCGGTCAGCAGCTGGTTCAGCACGCGGTCGGCCGCGCCGCCTGGGTCGGGGTTGGGGGTTTTGGCCAGGGTGTGAGCAGGGAGCAGCAAGGGGCGCCTAGCAGCGGGGGCCCAGCTGACGGGTTGGGAAATATGACCATGCTCACACATCAGGGCACGCCAAGCCGTGGCAGACCACATCACACGCCTTGCACTGCGACAGTCCCAGCAGGGCCTGGCGCAATTGTGCCTCACCAGCGTCGCCGCTGCTGCTGCCGCGCTGCACTGCAATGGAGTCCAGCTCGTCAAAGAAGAGGACGCAGGGGGCGCTGCCGCGGGCCTTGTCAAAGATCTCCCTGGGGTGATCAAGGCGGCGGTGAGTCCAAGGGTCAACACACAAGACAATCCAAGGCAAGGCGATCGATGTTGCAGGGGTGGACAGTGGCAAAACGGCTCAGCCGATATCAGCAAGCCCGGCGTTCCCCCCATTCTTGACCTTCCAGAGCCATGCATCCTATGGGCAGCGCGGCGCGCCCACCTGACGTTGGCCTCGGACTCGCCGAACCACATCGTAAGCAGCTCGGGGCCCTTGATGCTGATGAAGTTGGCCTGGCACTCGTTGGCGATGGCCTTGGCCAGCAGCGTCTTCCCACAGCCTGGCAGACGGGTCGGTATGAGAGGCGAGTGGGCACAAAGATGACGCACAGGCGTTGCGGGTGCCAGCAGGAAAGCGTCCGTCGCATGAATGTGACCAAAATCCTAGCCTAAAAGCACGCCCCACAGGCAGGCTAGCAAAAGTGAGCTGCCGCCCTAAGTACAACCGCGCCGGCGGTTGGCAGCTCACCGGGTGGGCCATAGAAGAGCACACCCTTGGAGGGCGCCATGCCGAACTTCTCAAACTTCTCGGGGTGCTCCACCGGGTATTGGATGAGCTCCTGCAAGGGCACGGCGGCGGAAAGGAATGTGTGTGCCAGGCAACGAGGGCGGCAGGAGGGGTGTGGCAACGTCAGCACAGGCAAGCTGAGCGTCTCGAAGCAGCGCCCAGCAAAGATGCTGCCATGCAGAGACGCAGCTAGGACGAGCTTGGCATACCTTGGCAAGCGGCGCTGCGCTGCGCCCAAGCGTGCCCCTCCTGCCTCAAGCACCCAAGGCAAGGACGCCATCCCCCGCACCCAACCAGACTATCCTCCCACCAGCGCGCCCGCACCTGCAGCTCCCGCTTGACGCCCTCCAGGCCGCCGATGTCCTCCCACGTGGTGTTGGGCACCTCCACCACCGTCTCGCGCAGCGCGCTGGGGTTCGACATGCCCAGAGCAGTCTTGAAGTGGTCCTGGGGAGGTGCGAAGGCGAGGGAGTGCAACCGCAATGAGGGGGAAAGGCGTCGGCACGCTGGAAACAACAGCGTTTCGCCAGCCGCGGCACAACTACCAAGGGGGCAGGCCGCCAATAGTACTGCTGCGTGTGTGGGTGGGAGTCCACCCCCAGAGCACGGATGGTGAGGGTGCTGGGGTGCTGCGCACCTGCGTGACGGCCATGGACGCCAGGACCTCTGCGTCGATGTTGTCATCCTCGAGGTCGATCACGTCCATCTTCTCGCGGATGCACTGCAGCGCGGCCTGCGGGTGTGGTTGAGTGGCAGAGGTGGCGCATGCGCGCGTGAGTTGCTGGTGATGCCACAGCTGGCCAGCAGTGATGCAAAACTCCCAACGCCATCACCAGCAGGCAGCCAAGCAGCCCCCAGCAGGGAGCTGGCAGTGCCAAGGTGGGTGCACACGGCTCAGCCCACCTCAGTGCACAGGGCCGCCAGGTCTGCGCCGACGTATCCGTGCGTGTCGCGGGCGATGGCCTCCAGGTCCACCTCGTCGGCCAGCTTCATGTTCTTGGTGTGAATGCGCAGCACCTCCAGGCGGCCAGTCTCGTCGGGCACCCCAATGTCGATCTCCCTGGGTTTGGGGTGGGTGAGATTGGGGTTGAGGGAGCAGATCGGGGCAGAAAGCAGGCTGTGTGACGTTAGTGGGAGAATGCAGGCTGCAAAAGGTGAATAGAGGCAATCAATGCGACAGGGGTCAAGCGGGACCGCACCTGTCAAAGCGGCCGAAGCGGCGCAGCGCGGCGTCAATGGTGTTGGGGCGGTTGGTGGCCGCGATGACGATGACGTGGCTGCGGCTCTTGAGGCCGTCCATCAGCGTCAGCAGCTGCGACACGATGCGGCGCTCCACCTCGCCCTGCGGTGCGGAAGGCACAACACACACGCCGTACAAGAGAAGGAAGCATGAGCTGCATGCCAGCACACTGCCGCCAAAGACCCTTCAGTCACAGGATGCAGGCGCTGCCATGCAGCGCTACTTGCCCGGTTTTAGCTCCTCTAAGCAGTGCTGATTTCAAGATAGGTGATCTCGCGCCCATACCACAAGCCGTTTCACCTGAGTCTTGTCGCGCTTGGGGGCGATGGAGTCAATCTCGTCAATGAAGATGATGGAGGGCGCGTTCTTCTCGGCCTCCTGGAACACCTTGCGCAGGTTGGACTCGGACTCGCCCGCCAGCTTGGACATGATCTCGGGGCTGGCGGGCGGGGCACCAGCAACACGGCAGGGTTCCGATGCGAGCTGTGACGCCCCAGGACTTTGGAGATGCATGTGGCTGACAGCTCAGCAGCCGCAAGAGCAAGCCCAATCCGTGCCTTGCTGAGTGCACTTACAGCAGAGCAGCAAACTGAAGTCCCTAGCTACTGCCAGTACTGCCCCCAATGTACAGGACTGTGCGCAACACTCACCCATTGACGATGACGAAGAAGGCACCGGTCTCGTTGGCGACAGCACGCGCGATGAGCGTCTTGCCGCTGCCGGGGGGCCCGTACAGCAGGATGCCCTTGGGGGGCTTCACGCCGATGGTCTTGAACAGCATGGGGTGGCGCAGCGGCAGCTCCACCAGCTCTCTGAACACGAGGGGCAGGGCGAAAAGTGGAGTGTAGGTCAGATGGGCCACAGTCCTTGTGCACTGTCAGTCCCCTACAATCACCTGGCGAACAAAACAAAGTGCTGATCAAACCCAGATGTGCTGCGTAAGCATAGTTTACCCAAAACTTGTAGCTGCCTTGAGCCTACGTATTTTGACCCCGAAATAACGGCCGTTGCACCCTAATGCTTTTTCCGAACCCTATGCCGACGACTCCACTGGGCGGCCTCTCGGTGCCCCATGCCAACTAGCCACGCACACCCCGTGCCCACCTGATCTGCGCCATCTGCTTGCGCACACCACCAACATCGTCATAGCCAACCTCATCCAGCTTCTCCTCGTCCTCACGCTTGATGGGCTCGCCCTGGAGAAGGGGGTGTGCCAGCCCATTGGGATGATGGCGTTCAGCAGCTGCGTGCTGCATTGCCCACGACACAGCTGATAACCCCCACAACATTGGCATGATAGCCAGCTTCATCCACCTCGTCGTTCCAAACCTGCTATCGGCTGCCTGCGCCCAAGGTCCCAACACCCAAGCCCACTCCCTCAATGCCGCTGCAACACCATCCCCTATGAGAGCTTGCACCACCCTGGCTCCCACCTCGCAGAAGATCTCTGTGTCAGGGGCCACAATGCAGTACTCCCCGGGGTCGGTCTCCACCACCTTGAACTCGACTGACCGCATGCCGCCGCGCGCCAGGAAGGTGTCCCCCTGGAAAAAACAATGGCAGGCGGCCTGGTTCAACAGGATAACATGGGAAATGCATGCACTCCTGCCCATGCGAGTTCGAAGCAATGCAAGAGCTTTCCTTCTGCCAAGAGGCCTAGCCCGAACTGCCACAGCAAGGACGCAAATGTGGTCCACCCGAGCCCTCCCAACCCCGTACCTTGCGCACGGGCCTGTAGGCCTCCAGAAAGTAGGGCTTAAGGAAGGAGTCAAACAGGTTGCCAGTGATGCCCTCAATCGTGTCGTCGATGGGCAGCACATGCACGCGCTTGCCGTACTTGACGTCCGTGCACTGGGTGAATGGCAGCGACATAGCAGCAATGGCACGTGCAGCATGCAAGAATGGTTAAATGCATGCGTGGGCATGCCTGAGGAAAGGTGTTGTGGCAGGCATGGCTGGAGGGGAAGGCTGGCGCGCCTGTCTCGGATTTGCAGCGCGTGCTGCTGCTTGCAGCCCAGCGTTATCTATGCCTGCCCGCAGCCCAGACCAAGCCACCAGTGCCAAGTGCTTTGCGGCAAGCCAAGAACGCTCCATAGCATGCAGTCAGGTGGCATGTGCGCATGATGGCCTCCAGCGCACGCCTTGCATGCACTCCTCGCAACCATGCGCGTGCGCAGCAGGCTGCACGGGCGCGTACGACTGCTTGCCGGTGAAACACGAGACATTCCGCCCCATGCAAGAGCGCACCTGGTGCACCGACACAATGTCGCCCAGGCGCACGCGCAGGTTCTTCCTCACGACCTTGTTGATCCTGATCTTTGTCTCGTCGACAGTCTCGTCGGCCAGCACGATGCAGACCGTGTCACGGCGCTTCTTGCCCTGCACGCCCAGGGATCATAGTTGAGGCCCCGTTTGGATACACACGCATACAAGATAATGGACCTACTGTCTAGCGAGAAAAGCAACCACGTAAGGCGCGCCTCAGGCCCACCTTGAGCAGCACGGTGTCGCCGCGGAACAGCTGAAGCTTCTCCATGGTCGTGGGGTGCAGCGCCACCACGGAGTTGTCATCATTCACGGCCTCGTCGACCACCAGCCTGTTCGGGGACTTCTTGCGCTCCAGGATCGCCGTGCTGAAGTCCTTCTTCTTCGAGGGATCGCTGACAACCGCATGAGGGTCGGACGGACCAGCCTCGTCGGCCATTCTGCTGCGTGCGTGAGAGGCGCAGCGGTGCCCAGATCACAAACTGCTCTCTCGAGAAGCGGTGCTTGAAGACAGGTAGCGAGATACACGAATGCAAATGATATGATATGGCACAGCAGGTGTAAGTGTTCGTATACCGCGAGGCGATCAGAGTGATGAGCGGTGAACTGACCGCAGAAGGTCAGCAGCAGGTGCACATCCCACACTCACCCGATGCATGAAGAGAGCTTTGGGGGCGTGTTTCAACTCCGCATGGTTTAGCCGCTGATATGCGAACACCATTCGTTCGCTCTCACGTGTCAGCCTAGCTGCTTCGTGCCCGAGATCTTGGGACGGTGTAAAGTGCCACGCTGTCCCGCACAGCTTCCTTGTTGCAGTGCAGTCGCAATTTATAAAGGTGCAGCTGGTTTCAAAAGCGGGACCCAGACAAGTCGTAGAGCAGGTCCCGCGGCGAACAGGGCCCCTGCGCTTACTGCACCAGAAGCACAGAGCGGCTGGATTGTGCGGCACACCCCGTTGAGGTGGTTGGACCACAAGGCGGGCGGCGCTCTACGGAGTGGCCGAGCCAGCACATGATGCGATGCCGGTGCAGTGCGGTAGCAGGCACGCTGCTGCTGCTCTTGGCCTGCTGTGCCGGCACAGCGGGCAAGGTGGTTGAGCTGCGGGACGACAACTTTGACAGCCTCACACGCAGTGGGGCATGGTTCGTGGACATCTACGCACCGTGGTGAGCACCCTTGTTGTTTGGGCGGTTACCTTAAGAGTTTGGGGGCTTGAGGGTTGGATGCAAGGCAGGCAGTCGTGAAAATGAGTCAGCAAAGGGTTGGGTGTCGGCTTCACCCCACAACCATCACACGCGCTCGGCCCACTGCGATTGTCTGGTGCTGACCCCATGCACAGGTGCTCGCACTGCCAACGACTCGAGCCTACGTGGCGCCAGTTGGCTGATGAGCTCAAGCCGCTGGGCGTCTCAGTGGCCAAGGTGCGTGCTACACAGCTTTGCCCCCCCTCGTCCTCTCCCGCCCCCTTGGGCGGGAGAAGCAATATTCAGCAGCAGTCATTACAGCGTTGGTAACTGGTGTGCCTCCCTTTTGTCAACATGCAATTTACAGCCACGGTGCTGGCCTTGCGGCTCTTGACCACAGTTGCTACACAATTCACTTCGCCTGTGGTGCTGCTTGCCTGGCACCTGCGCAGGTGGATGGCACGAAAAACAAGGTGCTGCTGATGCGTTTTGGCGTTGAGGCGTACCCATCAATATACCTGCTGAGGGAGGGAAAGTCCTGGCAGTACGACGGCGCTCGCAGCTTCCAATCGGTGCGGTGGAGGGGGGGGCCGCTGCAGCGTCACACGGCAATTGATAAGCAGAGGGGGCTTGCCAGGCACTCGTTCCCTCCTGCAATGGGCATATAGACCGATATTTGACGTTTGAACAATTCACCAACCTTGCATGTGTCCTCAAGCATGTCCAAAACCACCACCTTGACCTTTGCAGTTGAAGGAGTTTGCCCTCACCGGTTTCAAGTCGGCGCAGCCAATGCCCTTCCACAAGAGCCCCGTCAGTGCATTCGGTCGTGTCATGGGCGCGCTGCACTCCTTCCCAGCGCTCGCCAAGCGGGCCTACACACATTTACGGGTAGGACATTTGTGTGTGGTGCACGGGGCCCAAGCTTGCAGCAGGGACCCGTCAGGGAGGGCCTGCCTACCTATGGCAAGCATGAGCACCACACGTGTGCGCACTTGGGCCAGGCAACTCTTCATTTATGAGACATGCCATCCAACGCCACGCCAGGAGGACAAGGGCTTCAGCGACATGACCATCATCTCCGGGCTGCTGCTGGTGCCCCTCGCTCTTGGGGGCTTGGGCATTTGCATCCTGGACGTGATGTACACACGGCAGCCGCACCTGGCGCACCAACACTATGAGTGATGTGCGATGCCTGGTTTTGACGGCGCGAAGGCCGCCCAAGCGAGAGTTTCCTTGATTGCGCCCTTCAACATGTCACTGCTCGTATCTTTTTCCTGCAGCACGGCATGCCATGCGGATCTCGCAATTACAATCTCTCATTGCGCACCTGCTCAAGTTGCGGCTGCTGCAACGCACGTTACGGCACACTGTTATCACAATCGTTCATGCAGTAAATTCGCCAAGGTCTGCCGTCGCTGCGGGTGTATGATGCCAGGTCTGTGATACCTGAATCCACAGCAACGTTTGCCATCCGTCGGCGCATGTGTGAAACGTTGACCAGTGTGCCAAATGACAGCGTGTGTCGCCAACGCGTGTCTTGCCAATGCTCGTCAGGCTGTCGTTCAGTGTGTCATCTGTTATCGCGAGCTGATTTCAACGGCCGTGAGCTCGCTCGACAGCCTCGTGTTGCCGGAGATTATTACTGGCATCCCCTGCCATCCCAGCGAGAGCTTGTGACTCAAGAACTATCGTCACGATTCACCGACACGTTCTCTTTGACGAATTGATCCTAACGCGACTTGCAAAAGGAGTCACGAGAGATTTGGCACGGCGCGGGCGAGATCCATTCCAGACAGTACCGGAGTTTCCACCAGCCGGGACACATGAGATCAGAAATGTTACATGGGCCCCTGCGCATGGCGCGCATGCCCGCCCCGGCGGCAGCGGCAGCGCCTGTGCGCGTGCGCGCGGTTTCTGTCTGCGCTCAGGCGGCCAAAGTCAAGTTTACACTGCCCAAGCGCGTTGAGTTTGGGCAGGAGCTTGCAGTGATTGGATCTTCAGAAGCTCTGGGTGGGTCGGCGCACTGTGCCGGCTGGGTCCTGTGCTTGGCGCGCGACTGCTGGTGTCGGTGAGCGTTTGCAACGGGCGCTTTGTTCACCTGTGTTGTGAATTACGACGAGAAGAGGGGCTTACCACCTCAAGTGCCACTCCCTTCGCTGCTGTCACCCGTCACCCCAATGGCCGCCCGCGCACCAGGCAAGTGGGACGCGGCAGCTGCAATCCCAATGACTTGGACGGAGGGCGACGTTTGGACCGCCGAGGCAGAGCTGGCCGTGGGGTACGTTTAATAGACTGCCAACAGTTATATGGCACGCATGCACATGCAAACATGCACATGCGTGTGCGCGTGCACACCCACACACACAGAGAGAGAAAAGCGCTGCATAACACACGCAAGCATGAGCAAGCACAGGGCACGTTCCAGCCCGCTTGATCAACTCACCCAGTCTAGTTCTCCGACGCACGCCGGCCCCCTGTCCCCCACCTGGGCAGCAGCACCGCCGTTGAGTACAAGTACATTATCCGCGCCCCCGCCAGCGGCGAGGTCGTCGTGTGGCAGCCCTGCGAGAACCTCTCTATTGACCTGACCACCGTGCCCGCCGGCCCTGTTGTTGTCAAGGACGGCTGGGAGGGTACGCACGAGCTGCTGCGGCCGGCAGTTGCAACACCGGCACAGGTCGCCGCGCCCAGCGCGGAGGCAGGGGCGGAACCCATCGCGGCAGTGGAGGCCGCGCCCGCTGCTGAGGTCAAGGACTCGCCCACAGCAACCATTGCGGAGCAGGAAGTCAAAGCGGCCGTGGCGTTGGCGGCAGCCGCGGAGGTGCTGGCTGTGGCTGCAGCATCGATGGATGAGGATGTTATAATGGCCGCGGCCAAGGCGGCGGCTGCGGCCTCCTCCACCTCGTCTGCAGCGGCTGGCTCTGCTCAAGCCGAGGCGTTGAGGAGCAAGTCCGAGGTGCGGCATCGTGACCTGCACAGCGAAGGAATGGTCACGATTGCAAGGGCATCGAATGCCCGAGTGCAAATTCTCTGTACAACTGAACCAACTTCACCAACACCCAGTGTGTTCGGTGTTGGACAATGCTCATGGCTTGAACACGCCACAGCATCAACAGGAATGCGCTTTTTCCTGTTGCGACACTTGCTGCAGGGCTCCTCGCCGCGCTCCTCCACGTCATCCAAGGGCCCAAAGTCCGCCAAGGGCGAGCGTGCATGACTACGCCTCGCAGCCACCCCAGGCGCATCCCGCCAGGCGTGCCGGGGCACGGCTGGCTGCCTGGTGCGACGTAGCGTGGCAGTTGCCAACATGATGCTGCTGCCGTTCTGCTGATGTGAACTTTGCCAGCATCGACCACGCTGCTGACTGGGTCGCACAGGCGAGATGGTTGCCGGGGTGGTGTGTGCATTTTTGATCTGCAGGCAGGGCTGCAAACTTTTTTTGGGGATGGCACGCGCTGTTTTAGGGAGCGCGCTTTGAAGTTGACCTTCCCTGCATCGCTGGTGCAGAGTTGGGTGAGTTGCATGAAGTTGCTACAGATGACCAGAACCGAATGAAAATAATCCATCTCGTGCATCCACCACTTTGTGGAGGCACACCATTTTCACCCTTGCTTTCATGCAAATTTTGTCGCTCATATTACATTTGATTGACAGAAGGGGGTCCTGCCGCCCACTGCGCTGCCACGGGGCCAGCAGTAGAGGGGCAAGCATCAACACCAGTAAAACCAACAACAAAGCTTTCCAGCCATTGCAAGCGTACTGCGCATGGCCAAGCCGCTGGCGGTCACAATGTCATCAAAGCGTGAACCAAGTCGGGTCTTATACAGCAAATCTCCAAAAAAAGAGCACGCTCCTGCAGCAGCCCTTCCAGCCCACGCGCACGTACGCATGGGATGGCTAGTAGGGATGCGTCAGAGGGTCCCCTGCCACATGGAATTGAGTGTGCGGGCCGGTGTGTATGAACAGAGGCGATATGGGCGTCCATGTTCACCACACACGGTGCCTTCCATGGCTGTAAGAACAAGCAATACACTGATGCCACATGCGGCATTCCACCGCCAACACCACGTGCGCAGCATACACGGCATGACACACAAAACAGCCTCCTTGAGCTGTGGGGGCGACAACAGCACGGGTCCACAGCAGGATTTTTAACCCCCGAGCGACACCACACAATCCCAGGCTGCGGCTCCTGCCCACACTGCGAATGTACACAGGCGCAAGACACGATTGCGGTGAGAAGGACAAACTCAATAGCTATCAGCACACATACGAGCTGGGGTCAAAGCCGTGCGCGGGCACGCCAGTCGGGCTGCCAGAAACGCCCAGGCACGACCTCATATCAGTCCGGCAGCGGCTTAGCCCCCTTCACTTCAGGACCGCCGCAAATTGTGACGTTGTGTGAGACATGAGTTTTTGGGAGCGATGTGTGCGCACACGCGGCCTATTTGGCCATCAACGGAAGCGTGGTGTCACGGCGGGCCTTGCAACAAAACGGCAGGCCCTGGCGGCCTGCTGTCACCGCAACGCGGCGCCCGCGCCGTGCGCCTCAAGCGTGTCGCGCAGCAGCCGCAGCTTCTCGGGCTGCATGTTGGCCGTGAGCTCGGCCACCCTGGCCCCATCCCTGTAAAAATGGAAGAAGGGTATCTTGGTGACGCCCTGGGCCTCGCAGTATTCACGCAGGCCGTCCGCGGAGCCGTCCACCTTGAGAAACAGCGCCGACGCCTCGCGCTCGCGCGCCAACTGGCGCAGCTTCGGCTGCGGCGCGGCGCGGCGCCAAGGCGGGCGGAGGGCGGTTGGGTGCGCAGGCGCGATGCAAGATGAGAGTGCGAGCGCACCAGCAGGGTGCCCGCCCCTGCAGACTTGTCTGTGCCTGCGCGCATCGGAATAGCCACAACAGGGTACCTCTAGCAAAGTCAAACGCGTCATCAGGGTGCGTCATGCCAGGCCAGCCACCTGCAGGCTCTTGCAGCCGTAGCAGTCAGGGCTGAAGAAATTGACGACGACCAGCTTGCCCGCGGCGCAGCCTTCCTGGATTGCGTCATCCAGCTGCTTTGTGGTGCCGACCAGCGCCATATTGTCCGGGGTGTCAACCTCCCACCTGCCGCGAAGTGGGCGCACCACAGTGCGCGGCGAGCAGGTTTGACAAGCGTCAGCTTGACAGAGTGCCGTCGAGTGATGTTTACGGCGCACTGCGACGCAGATCCCTCATTGAAGGACAATGCGGTCATTTTCACCTGCCACCTCCTGTTGCACCGCTCTAACGCAGCACCATCAGTGGCGCACAGTGGGAAGCAGGAGCTCACCAAGGCACAGCACCTGACTTCTGGGCCTCTGCGGCCTCTGCACGGGTGCGCGCCATGTCCTGGCGCCGCTGCATACGCCTGCGTAAGGCAAGCTTGATCAGTACAGCCGTTGGTACGCCAAATCAAAATGCCGGCCACCAGGTCCCGTCGCTGTGTCTCTGTAGATGAGTCTCGCCCCACCTCTTCTGCGCGTCAAGTAGGTGTTTCAGCGCATCACTCTGCTCTTCTACGGGCGTGTGTACAGTCATGGCGCTCCTACAGCTGCTCCTAGGACGCGGGCCGAGAACGGCTTGGCCCCCAAACAAGCTGGCAGGCCTTTGCAGGCTTCTAGTTATTTGAACAGCCATGGTATTAGGGTGCACGTGTATTGGGATGGAACGCATGTGTTAAACTTGGTGGTGCGGCAGCTCGCATCATGAGCATTGCTGATGTGGATGCAGGTGTGACTCAGGCGTACGGCGCTGAAATTGGACGGTGCATACGTGAATGTAAGTTTGAATTCTGGGGGAGATATCATAGCTTGTGTATGGACGGTGGCCGCTTGTGCATCGACATACTGTGCGTGGACTTTGCCAGTGGGGTGCATACAGTAATGTTAATCAGTGCCGTCTCCCATGCCGCTTCATAGCCGACCCACTGCATCGCGCTACGGAATCATCATGGCCGATAGCTGCAAGGGAAAGCCTTCATCTTGCATGTTGCAAAAACATTGTTAAGAGCCGGACCAGAAAGTGATCCTTGCCTTTGTGAGCATGCCGCCTGGCAAATCATCGACACGATTTTGTTGACCGACTACAAGGATCCATCTGCTACCGTATGCAGAGGGTCCAAGAACAGGGATAAAGACGGGCGGCACCACCAGCAGTCCTCGCTGCACAAGCTCTGCTTCCCTGCACGCCTCACTGTCACAAGTCAGGGTGCCAATTGTACTTACCATCGGCTTACAATACGATAAGTGTGCAGCTCCACGCATGCGTGTGCATGGCGACCACATTTACAGGATTGCTGGGGTGCAGCCTTTGGAGGTGGACTCATGGACGACAGCCTCGTGACGACAGCAGCAGCAGCAGCAGAGCAGTGCTCCGGTTACAAGGGCAAGTGACACCAAGCCCCGTAACCCGAGGCTCGCTCATTGTGTGTATATTCTGACACTCTTTTGCTGCGTATTTAGCCCTCCGAGCCGCCTTAGATCGTTGCGAGTTTTTGCCGGCGACGACGGCGGCCGTCCTCGCTTGAATCCAGCTCGTTGAATTTACGCAAGCGTATCCAAGCTCGATGTCGAAGCGCGTGAAGCGGCCTGTTGACAAGGGGGGCGGCCGCAAGAAGCCACGCAAGGGGGGTGCGGCAGATGCAGACGGCGAGGATGCGGGATTCTTCCTGCTAGGAGATGACGAAAAGCAGAAGCAGCAGCAGCAGCAACAGGCAGAGGAGAGTGAGGATGAACAGGTGCACGAGACGGCGGAGGAGAAGCGCCTGCGGCTTGGTGAGTTGGTTTGCGTCCGTGCAGTGGCTGGGCACAGCAACGCTCAAGCGCGGGCCACCGAGTGTTGTGAATGCTGAGGCCTGAACAGCTGCTGTTTATTCTGGGCATCATCCTGACCGCATGCCTGGCATCTGTGTTGTACTTTGGCGCCATGCCGCTCGCAACCTTGTTGCTTTTCTGAGTGTCGACACCCTGCCCCACGCTCTGCCCTGCAGCACGCGCCTACCTCGATCAGATGCGGGAGGACGACGACGAGGGCGGGGAGGGCGAAGAGGACGATGAGGAGCGCCGCGGCGTGACGGGCGGCCGGGACAGGCTGGCGGAGCGCCTGCAGCAAGACGCGGCAGAGGTGGGTGCGGGCAAACAGGCACGTGCTCTTGCTCCTGGCCGTGCTCTTGCTCTTGGACCCGGTCTCGTCCCCAAAGGTGGGGAGGCCAGGGTCTCGCCGCACTCACGCTTTAGCTGAGCGGCTGCAGCTGCAGCCCTGGGAGGTGGCCCCAGCCGCCTCCTGATCACCAGCTGGCACGAACGCTGGGAGGAACTCACTTGGGACCCGCGCTCTTGTAATTGAGCGATCGCCGGTTGACCCTCTGCCTGTGTGTTGCACCCTGGTGCCCTTGTGCCCTTGCACCCTTGCCCCCGGCAGGCCCAGGGCCGCCTCCAGCGCATCCTGGCCAACCGCATTAGCATCCCCGACCAGACGCGCCCCGCACCGCGCGTGGAAGACTGTGACTCTGAGAGCGGCAGCGACGCCGAAGACGAAGCAGAGGCAGCGGCAGCAGCGGACTCCTTGGCGGCGGCAGCGGCGGCGGGGGCGGCGGCGGGCCTCGGCAACGGCGCGGCGCTGCCTTACGGCGCGGGGCGCTTCGCGGCGGCGCACCGATCGTCGGCGACAGCGCTGGCGCTGTCGCAGGACGGGGCGACGGCGTTCACGGTGGGCAAGGACGGGGCCATTTACAAGTGGGATGTGGAGGCGATGCGCAAGGTGCAGCTGATGAGGTGAGGCGCGTCTCGGCTGCAAGGGAAGGCCAAGCAGGGAGGGGAAGGGTGCGATGGAGGAGGGGACGAAGGGGGACTGCACGGAGTGGACCGGCCAGCACGGCTGTGCCGCGGCGTGCCAGGCGCATGACCGGGGTGAGGAACACTAGGACACAGGCGGTGTTTGGGCGGTGCACCACGCCACATCCACCTAGGCTTATGCAGTGCTGTTCAAGTGGCCATGGCAGGGCCACAGCATTAGGGTCCTTGTAAGATTGCCCGCCCAGCAGTCAGTGTAGCAACAGCCGCCCATTGCACCTGCTATTCCCCCCCGTCTGACCTCTTTGCACTTTTGCCTCCGGCATGTCCAGGCCCGGCGGCAACCAGCCGCAGCCGCTGCAGCCCGAGGCGGCTGAATGGGTGCAGCGGCGCAGCGGCGGGCAGGGTGTGCTGCGGGCGCTGTACGCAGCGGCGCTGTCCAGCGACGGTCGCTTCCTGGCAGTCGGGGGCGGCGACCGCAAGGTGGGCAAGGGCGGGCAAGAGGGTGGTGTTTTGGGGGAGAGGCAGCATTTGGACAGCGGGCTGCATGTTGTGGAGGCTCGAACGGGCGGTCATACTTCCGTCACTGCGGGCTGCTTTACAAAAATCTCCCAGCGCTTGCGCACTGCGTTTATCAAGCATGATATTTTGTGGCTGTCATTTCGGCTTCTCTAGGCCCGAGCCTGCTGGCCCCCCCCCCAAAAAAAAACACACATACATATGTGCGCTACACAGACGGGCACCTCGCGCTTCACACACCTGCGCTCACATAGGTCCATTTGTTTGACGCGGCCGCGGGGCTGCATGTGGCGTCTTACCCCGGCCACCGCGACATCATCAGCGGCCTGGCCTTCAAGGACGGCAGCCACACCCTTTTCAGCTCCAGCTTTGACCGCACCATCAAGGTCTGGTCGGTGGACGACGGCGCATACGGTGAGCGCCTGTCCCGCACACTAGCCAGTCGCAGCTCAGCAAGACCGCACAGCATGCGACACTTCCTGCCGATCTGCTCCTGCATGCTGCCAATGTCGTCACGTGCGTGTGCCATGCCAACGTGAGCTTCCGACAGGCGTAATCTTGTCCCCCTTACACTGCGGCGACCCCGCAGTGGACACCCTGTTTGGCCACCAGGCGGAAATCCACGGCGTGGACGCCCTGCGCCAGGAGCGCGTGGTCAGCTGCGGCCACGACCACACCTGCCGCGTGTGGAAGGTGCAGGAGGAGAGCCACCTCATCTTCCGCGCGCACCGTCCATCCGTGGAGTGCTGCAGGTGGGCGGGGGCCGGCAGGGCTGGGCTGCAAGGTGGCTGATGGCTTGGCACCGGTCGAGAGGCAGGCAGGGCTTGATAGGGCGTGTGTGGAGACGCGTCCCCTGGGCAGGATAGCCTGGTGACCTGCTTCAGCAGCAATGGAGCGCCTTGCAACACAATAAGCTTGGTGCGAACGTCTCTCCCTCCTTCCGGAAGCAAGGCGGTGCCAACGGCAGAAGAGGCGCGGAGGAGCTGTGCTCAACCTTTCTCATTCCCCCGATGCCACCCCCCTTGCAGGTTCATCACTGGTACAGAGTGGCTGTCTGGCGCGGACGACGGCAGCCTCCAGGTGTGGACGCAGGTCAAGAAGAAGCCGGTCAGCATATACCGCGGCGCCCACAGCTGCCGGCCGCACGCGGCGACGCCAGCCGCGCCGCCCGCGAAGGGGAGCTGGGCGACCGCCAACTCAGAGGCGGTCGGGTGGGTGCAGTCCGTCGCGGTCGCGCGCGGTTCGGACCTGGCGGCGAGCGGCGCGGGTGACGGCGCGATACGGCTGTGGGCGGTCGAGCAGAGCAAACACGGCGGCGCGGGGTTCCTGCGGCCAGTTGGGGACCTGCCGGCCCTCGGGTTTGTCAACGGGCTCGCCATTGAGCGAGGCGGGCGCTTCGTGGCAGCGGCGGTGGGCAACGAGACCCGGCTTGGGCGGTGGGGCCGGGTTGAGGGCGCGGGCAACGGGCTGCTGGTGCATCCCCTGGTCGTGGCTGACGAGTAAAGCTGCGCCTGCTCTGTTCCGGCCAAACTGCAAGGTGTCGCATCCACAGCTTGCAGCATTTTCAGGCCACAGCCTCAAAGTTCCCGCAATGTATCTGTGCCCAGGTCCAATTGAATATTTACTCGAGTTGCTTGTTGCAGAAACAGGTATCGACTGTCGGTCTCCCGGGCGGTGATCTGACAGCGTTTGGCCGCAGACTTCCGGACTTGAATCAGGTCTTGAGGATCCACTGTATTCAGGCTCATATCAGCCATGTTAGGTCAAAGGGCTTCACGCTTCGGGGCTCGCTGCCATCAGGGCAGCGTGACGAGTCCTCATTGGGGTCCCATAGCATGCGGAGTACCTTCAACATCACGTGTAAGCCGTTGCTGCGACCGTCTGAGTGCGGTCGTGGGCGCCGAGCAGGCTACCACCCTCGCCCCTTCGGGACCCCTGGATGGCAATCAGCGCATCCGTGAGGGAGGGCAGGAATCCAAGCTTGTGCAGGCTCAGGTGGGGTCGCTGGCTGCTGCGCGGATCGACATTGCATTGGCGTCCAGACAGCTTGCAGCATTGCATGTGTCGAGGCGTGCATGCAATGCGCCTGCCTGCATGCAAGAGCAGTTGGGCAATCAGGAGCTGCAAGAAGCTCACTAGTTGACATCAAGACCAGCGGCACTGCCAGTGGTGTGTGTATGATGCCGTTGCTCATGGTTTGACCTGTCCAATGTGTGCGACGGTGTGTCCGATGCCTGCATATCACTACCACCAGGCCAACAAGCGAGACAAGGAGCAGCCAACCATAGCCTCGCAGCTGCAGCCGCTGGTTCCAGGCGCCACCGTGGACGCGGCAGTGGTGGGGTGCGGTCCTGCGGGGCTGTACCTGGCGGCACAGCTTGCGCAGAGGGGCCTCAGCGTTGGCCTGATCGGTGAGGAAAAACGCAGCATGCGCGCCGCCCATGGGTGGCTCCTGTTGCCGAAGTTCTCACGCGCATGCAGCATGGATTTGCCGCATTTGCAAACACGAGCTCATCCAGTCGTGCATGGCGGGCATCTCAATCAGGCTACCAAGCTGCGTCATCCCCCTCCCACCCTGCCCAACTTCCGCAGGCCCTGACAAGCCGTTTGTGAACAACTACGGCGTCTGGGTGGACGAGTTTAAGGCGGTCGGCATGGACCACACCCTTGAGGTCACGTTTCCCGACGCCCAGTGCTGGTTTGGGGAGGGCAACAAGGTGGGCGAGGGCGTGGCGCTGCGACGCCAGCGAGGCGGCGCAAGTGGGGGGCCAGCGCAGTGCGTGGTGTTGACGCCAAGCGCCCCGGGCAATGCGATGCGTTTCACACAGACATGCAACGAGCAGTCAGAAGTAGGACGGAGGCGCGCCGCTGCACACTGCCCTGTCGAGCCATCTTTAAAGCTCACGTGCAAAAGCCCCCCATGCACCTCGTGTGTGGCCCGCAGGTCAACGTGGGCCGCTCGTATGGCCGTGTCTCGCGCCGCCTGCTGCGCCAGCACCTGCTGCAGCTCTGTGCCGCGGCCGGCGTGACCTACCTCGCCGACGAGGTGTCAGCCATTGACACGCCCGAGGGCAGCGGCGCGGTTTCCGAGGTCAGGACTGCGGGCGGCGCGGCCCTACGGGCGCGGCTGGTGACGCTCGCGTCTGGGCAGGCAGCGGGGCGATTCATGAAGTATGAGGAGGGGGCGCCCGTGGTGGCGGCCCAAACGGCGTACGGCATCGAGGCGGAAGTGGAGGGGTGAGCTGGGGTGCAACAGGCAGTGGAGGGGCGGGGCTGAGCAGCTGGAGTGCAGCTGCCGAGGGGTGACGGCCTGGGCGGAACGTGCTGTCCAGGGTCGCGCTTCAACTAGAGGTTGTGGCGGCCGCAGTCCAGGCGCCGTCGGGCGCTGCATAATCGCCAGCGGAGTGCATGTGGCCAACACTGGCGTGCGTTCGAATGTCGAATGTCGCTCCCTGCTCGCTCTGCACTTGCAGCTACGGGGAGGCCTATGACAGCAGCGCGATGCTGTTCATGGACTACCGCCGCCACCACACCGGCATCTGGGAGGGCTCCGCGACGCGCCTCGACAGCGGCAACCACCCAAACGCGAACGACGGCCTGTGGGGCGCCGCTGGCGAGGCGCCGTCGTTTCTGTACGCGATGCCGCTGGGCGGGGGCCGCGTCTTCCTGGAGGAGACCTGCTTGGTGGCGCGGCCAGCACTGCCATTCAGGGTACTCAAGCGGCGCTTGCAGCGGCGGATGGCGGCGATGGGCATCAAAGTGCTCAAGGTGAGTGCAAGGGCACGGCGGCTCGGCAACCAGCCGAGGAGGGAGTTGCTGGTGGTGGAGGCGGTTGCTGGTCGTGAGGAAGCAAGAGCCAGCAGATGGTGGAGCCCTTACGCGTCAGAGCAGCTCCCTCGAACTGCTGGGGTTTTCTGTACTGCCTGGCCATGCGCGGCTTGCGCTCATCGGCCAGTCTGCCGTGGCGAAGGCGCTGGGCTGTGATAATCGGCGCAGCCAAGGCGTGTTGACGCAGATTGCGACCGCCCGCCGACCGTTGCAGGTGCACGAGGAGGAGTGGAGCTATATCCCTGTAGGCGGCCCCCTGCCCGCCGAGGGCCAGGCTATAGCAGCATTCGGCGCGGCCGCCAACCTAGTGCACCCCGCAACGGGCTTCAGCGTCTCCCGCTCCCTCCGCGAGGCGCCCGGCGTCGCGGACGCCGTCGCCGCCACGCTGCGCACGCCCGGCGCCGGCGCGCGGGAGGCCGCGGCGGCGGTGTGGGCCACGCTGTGGCCTGCAGAGCGACGGCGGCAGGCGGCGTTCCACCTCTTCGGGATGGAGCTGCTGACTCAGCTGGACTTGGGCGCGACGAACGACTTTTTCAGGACCTTCTTCGCGCTGCCCCCCTACTACTGGCGCGGCTTCCTGGGCTCAAACCTGAGCAGCGTGCAGCTGGTGGTTTTTGCGATGCTCACATTTGTCCTGGCACCGGCCGGCATCAAGGCCAAGCTGGTGTCGCACCTGTTGACAGGTGAGGCGGCCGCTGCGGCAGGTTGTCCAACAAGCAACTGGGTGTTCACAGGCAGCAATTCCGGCGACACTGCACACGTGCATACGGGTGCGTGCGCGGGCACACACGCACAAACCGACACGTACGCACAAGCATGTGTTTGGCTGCGCAAGAACCTCACGCAGCTCGCGCTCTGCGCGCCACACACGCTCCATCTCTGTGGCGCCCCTGATCTGTCCACCCTTCTGTCCACCCTTCTAGACCCCTCTGGCGCCTACCTGGCCCGGAAGTACCTGGGAAGCAGCAGCAGCAGCGGCGGCGACGACGCAGCCAGTGGCGGCAGCAGCGCGCAGGCAACGGCGGTTGCGGGGCTCCTGATCATTCTGGCACAGCAGGCAAACCAGGGGGGGCTTGACTCATGAGATGTGCATGGCGGGCGCGCCAGGCGCGCCGCTGCAGTCAGGTTGCGCTGCAAAATTGTGACGATGCGGTAAGCGCCATGGACGAGCCAGTGGGGTGCCCTTTTTAATGCGGCTGGCGGCCCTGGTCAGCTGCGCGGCTGACCGTGGGAGGCCCCATGCCTCTCGTCGCTGTCTATACCTGTTGTTCCAAGCGCAGCCGGCGGTTCCATGGCTCTGGCCACATCCTGGCCAATGCATGCTCAGCTTGCACGGTGGCCCAGATACAACCACCCCAGGTGTGCACACAGGCTGTGCATTGAAGAGTTGAACCCCCATGCAGCGGCCTGCGTTTCGGCCCTGCGCCACGGCACAGGGTACTTGGTGCCGCGGGTCTGGTGCCCCAATTGGTGTTGAGGTTTGTGTCTGTTGGGTTGCAGCACGCTTGCAATGACAGACTAGATCTGGTTTGACACCCTCTGCTGCGCAGCATGCCGCCCGCTGGCATGCTGAACGCTGGCTATCCTTTTCCAGCGGTGGGCGCAGCGCATGTCGTCCACGCCCGCCCCCACCCCCCTTGCCTCAGTAATCATCACGTTGCAGCTTGGGCCTGCGGTCCGCGGTACGTGACCTTTGTGGTTGAACATAATTGGTGCATCCCGTCTGGATATTTCCGCATGGTCAGCCATCTGGACACCCCTGTCCCAATCATTGATTGAAACCTCAGGCAACCAGCAACTGTGCTGACACCAAGTCGACGGCACCGTAGCTTCAGGGTGGTGGGTGTGTTTCTGGGTGCAGGCGCGGGTCGACAGGCAGTTGGCCAAGTAATTCATGTTTCTTCATGCATGCGGTGATGGCATGCCTAGCAACGCTGCTTGGGGAAGCTGGCCGCTGCAGCCTGCAGAACAAGGGCGTTGGGATCTGTACAGTACCCTTCCAGGCAATGCCATTCACAGTAACAACATAAGAAGATGTTGGCCATGATTCAGAGATCAGGTTGCGTGCTACTTGAAGGAAAAGTGAATACATGGACCCATAATGCGTCGTGCCATGCTCCGTGCTCGCCTGATGACCACCAGGGGGCGATGCACGCCCTGCGCAACGAGAAGCGAACACCCCATGCTACACCGTGAGCATGATGGCATACTTGATGCTATCAAGTGCATCAATTCGCGCCCTTGGTCGCGGGCCTCCAAGGATTGCATGACAGTCCTGTTTTTGTCCGATCACTTTCGAACCTGCGCGGTATCAGAGGCGTTCCCGTGCGCCTGAATGCAATGGACTTATCATATGGGTTTCAAGGCATCTTAAAGCCTGTCACAAAGGTCGGAGGTCATCCACCAGATCGCGCAATCTGCGCGGGACGCGGGCTCGAAGCCACCCAATCGCACCAGGTGCTCGCTAAGATAGCCCTCTTTAGATGCTTGTGCAGCGTGCTGCATGCGCAGGTCTACCGTTGACATCCACAACTCGTGCGTACAGCAGCAACCACTGCCAACGGCGGTTGCGTCGCGCCATGCTGCACCACCACAATGAGTGTAGCGCTGACCGAATTGGCGACGATGTGCTGGAGGAAATCTTTTCGCGCGTGGGGACCGCCGAGGAGGGCCTCCTGGTCAGCGCGCTTGGCCGCCGATGGCGCGCGTGGGCGGCTGCACGCTGGATGGAGCGTGAGGCGGCGTGCGGCCCCGCATTCAAGCAGCGCCCGCTGCCGCTGTGTTTTGTGCGCGACGCATGGCCACGAATGGCGCCGCACGAGCGGCGCGCCGTGGCCCAGCGCGCCGCCTTTGCTGGGGAGCTGAGCGTCCTGCGCTTTGCGGCGGCTGCGGGCTGCCCGCTCGACGCGACGATCTGCGAGGAGGCGGCGCGCGGCGGCCACGTGGACGTGCTGCGCGCCGTGCGCAGCGCGGGCTGCCCCTGGGACCGCCGCACCTGCCGCGCCGCCGTCATGGGCGACCACATTGGCGCGCTGCAGTACGCCCTCGCAAACGGCTGCGAGCGCGACAGCGGCGCTTGCCTCTTGGCGGCAGAGCTCGGCAACGTCGAGGCGCTGCGTGCGCTGCGGGCGCGCGGCTGCCCCTGGGACCGGGATCTGTGCCGATACCACGCGGATCAGCGCTCGCATGACGGCGTTGTTGACTTCATCGACTGCCAGCGCTGATGCTCGCAAGGACCTCGTCCGCATGCCACCATGCTCTCCCCGGCCGCGGAAGCGCCTGGATGGCGGGGATGCCGCAGGAGTGCGGCTCGAGGATACCCCAGTCAGGGGCTGCTAGAAAGCAGCGACAGCCTGGGGCCGCCTACACCACGGATTGACGCGCCTTGCACCTACCCCCCACAATATGGGAGGCCACCTGCAGCGTTGCGCAGCAGGGCCTTGCTGCGCCAGGGCCTGGGCTTGTCACGACTTGCGCAGACATGCAAGGCGCTGGTTCACATATTCCCCGCAGCAGCATCGGGCGCCCCCTTGCAGCCCACTGGCTGTCAACCATCTCATTAATGATCACCTCCGTCACAAAGGAGCCCTGCATGCAATTCCGAATTTGATTCTGATCATCAACCTTACTGTATTATTTCTACTTGCCGCAACTCTGAATACTGTCAACGCCCTCCCAAGCCCCATCAACCATGCTGCATTTCCTGTCAACACCTGGCCTGCTGCTTTGGGCTGCTTTTGAGGTTCCAGCACTGCTTGCTGGCTCCTCCTCCTCACCAACAAGACTGTACGTTGTCTGCTCTTGCATGGCAAGCTGCCACCGCGCGCCTGGCGAGCTGAACAGCACAGGCCCCATGCTGGCGCAAAGGGAGGTTTTCAAGGCCTGCCACAGCTGAGCGTAATTTGCACAGCTGGCACTGTAGGAGTTTGCCTCAGGCCCTCCACTATGTTGTTCAGATTCAGATGCATACCTCAGGGTTGGCATGTATCCTACCCAAGTTGCCCCACCATTGTGGAAAGCAAAGGGTGCGCCGTCTCTGGCAAGTATCCAGCCATTGTGATGATGGCAAACTCTGCGGCTCGTTGACCCTTGCACAGCGTCTATTCACCGGGATTGAGCTTTCAAACACTGCTTAGTCGTTGTCGCTACGCTCCCTTGTTGCGCGTCGCCCGAATGGACTATATACCCTCATTGCAAGCAATACTGATGTGTGTGCGAGCCAATCTGACCTTGTTCAAAGCCCGTCACACAAGCCGCACTGCACAGCTGTGTTGCGGATGGCGCCTTGAATTTCTTCCAGTCATCACATTATCATATAAGTCTCTTTGATCAGGTATGTTGCAGAACCTTCAGGTGTTGTAATCCACGTATCCCTGAGTTGCGCGCATTCCTGAGAGACCGGGACAGTGACAAGTTGCAAGCTGGGTCAAAATGCTCAGTTGAGGCTCAGGTGATCGACACGCAGGTAATTTTGGTGTATCAAGGTGCACTGGGGGACCAGATTTGGGCACGGATAGCCCATGCGCTTTGTGGATACCTGCCACGTTTGCTGGGTATGCTGTCTCCGGTGACTGCCAGCCCCTTTGCTCGCCATCCGGTGAACAAGTACTCATCACTGCCTGCATGCCCAGAGGTGTTTAGTTTTGTAAACTCGGTATTGAAGGCAGGCAGGTCGATGACAGTCGACGCGGCAGCACATGGAGCACAGCACACCATGCCCAGTCACAGCTGAACACGCAGCTGGTGTGGTTGGTGGCCCGTCCGCCGCGATGGTCTTGCCATGGGCTGATATTACCCTATCCAAGTTCTGCTAATTTTGAAACGTTTTGTCTCATCAGTCCAGCATACAAGACGCTCGTACGCGCTGGTTCGGCGAGGATGGCCTGGACCATGCGTTCGCCCGGGTGCAAGCCTCATTGCTCAGGGCATGCTGTAAGACAAAGCTGTCATGGATCTGTCTCTTCACAGGCCGTCAGGCACCCTGGCCCGCGGCGGGTCAAGGATCTGCGCACCCCGCTCGGCGGCGCCCTCTCTATGACGACAAGGCGGTGCTCTGCTGCTGCACGCCAACCGCTTGGCACAGATCCGCCCGTCGTGATTGCAGGCGCTGGCATCGCTGGCCTCGCAGCGGCCCTCGCGCTGCACCGTGTGGGCCTGCAGCCGCTGGTGCTGGAGCGCGCCCCCGAGATGCGCGAGCAGGGCAGCGCGATCGCGCTATGGGCCAACGCGTGGCGCGCTCTCGACGCGCTAGGCGTCGGCGCGGAGCTGCGCGCGGTGAACCCGCTGCTGCTCGACCGCTTCGAGCTCGCCCGCAGCGACGGCCGCCTGCTGCGGGGCTTTGACCTGTCACAGTGCGACGCGGCGGCCGGCGGCGGCGAGGCGGCCGAGTTCAGGGGCGTGCGGCGCGGCGCGCTGCTGGAGGCGCTGCTGGCGGCACTGCCGAGCGGCTGCGTGCGATTCGGGTGCGGTGTGGAGGCGGTCGAGGGGGACGCTCAGCGCGGCCCAGGTGCGTGGATGGCGGCCTTTGGAAACAGACGTGCGCAATTGCCTGCTACCCGCGTGCCCGGGCTTGACTGATATCTTGAAATGTGGCGATACTTGTCGGCTGGCCCATGTGCGTCCGCACAGCGTCAGCAGCGCGTGAGGGTTTTTCCAATGGCTTTGTGGTCGACGTCGCGCGGACGTTTGGATGGGCAGCGGATGGTGCGCTTCCCCAGTGCCTGGCAGGCATCCGCCCATGAACCCAGCCATCACTCCACCTGGCCCCACTGCTGCGACCTGCGCCCTGTGCGCAGGTGCAAACCCTGTGGTGCGGCTGACAGACGGAAGCTTCCAGGAGTGTTGCGTGCTGATAGGGGCGGACGGCGTCGGGAGCGCCGTGGCGCGCCACGTGGGGCTGGCGGCGCCGACCTACGCAGGTGGGTGTGCGCCTCCCCGGAAAGAAAGGGGGATCGCGCTGATGTTTTGAATGCCACGGTGCTCCTCTTCGCGGCCACCTGGGCCGCTGCCCATGCAGGTGGGGCCGGCAACGAGGCGTGTTGCCACCTGGCGCCCCCATTGAAGGCGGCGATTTTCCCTGCTCGTCCCCCCTCAGGCTATGCAGCGTACCGGGGCGTGGCGTTGATTCCGCCGGGCAAGCGCCTGCCGCTGCCGGCCAGCACCGTGCGCCAGCTGTGGGGCGCGGGTGTGCGGGCGGGGATGTACCCGCTGTCTGAGAGCGAGGTCTACTGGTTCACCTGCTTCAACGCCCCCGAGGTGACCTGGGGCCACGCCGGACGCCGCGCATGGATGGCCGGCTGCCCTCACTAGCCTGATGCAGCCCCCATGCACAGTTGCACCAGGGTGCCTGCTGACACGCACGCGTGAGCATGCACGCGCGCGTGCGGGCGCGTGCGCCGTGCCCCGCAGGACGCCCCGGTGCCTGCGACGCCCGAGGCCCAGCTGCAGGACGCGCTGTCCATCGTCCAGGGCTGGCGGGGCGGTATTGAGGAGGTCATCCGCAGGACGCCGCCAGAGACGCTGTCACGCAGCCGCATCCGAGACAGGTGGGCGGCTCGGGCACTGGCACGGCAGCTGTCTGGGGCGGCTGGCTCGGGCTGGCGCTTTTGGGAGCGGGCTGCATCTGACGTGCTGCACCTTGCGGCCTGAACAGTCTGATGATTTTGATCCTCCCCTTGTGCAGTGCATTGCGCTGGTGCGGATGGAGCCAGGGGGATTGCCAGGCAGCGCTTTTGCAGCCCCCTCAGCCCTGTGACATCACAGGGCATCCGACCAATCACACCACCCAAAACCCACTCCACTCCACACTTACTGTGCAACGCACTCCACCTCAGGTGGACCCTTGGCGCCTTCGGTCGCGGCCGGGTCACGCTGGCTGGGGACGCCGCGCACCCCATGACGCCCAACCTGGGCCAGGGCGGCTGCGCGGCCCTGGAGGATGCGGTGGTGCTGGCGCGCGAGCTGCGGCAGGCAGCAGACGCGGCCGGCGGCGGCAGCGGCAGCAGCGGCGGCAGCAGCAGCAGCAGCAGCAGCAGCAGCAAGGCGGACGCTTGGGAGGCGGCGCTGCGGCGGTACGAGGCTGAGCGCTGGCGGCGCTGCCTGCCGCTGACGGTGCGGTCGTGGGCGTTCGGTTTTGCGCTGCAGCTGCCATATCCTCCGGTGACGGCAGTGAGGGACGTATTTGTGGAGAAGGCGTTCAGCCCCGCCCACTTTTTGGACCACACAGCGTATGATGTGGGCGTGCTGGTGTAACACACATGGCAAAGAGTCCATGTGCAGCGAACGCCATGCGCCTAGACACCAGTTGCGTGTGCGGTAATGCTTTGGGCGCCTGCGCTGGGTGATGTGCTGAATCACCAAGGGGCCGCGTGTCGAACCATTGCCTTGGTTTGCTCTTAGCTATTGCTGGCCGGGAACAAGTGGGTGTCCTGCCCTGTTGCAACGAGGGTGGTCTCATTGTCGCGACACAGCCGCCACGTCATGACGGCATAATGAAATTTGAATCCTACGGTCCCATGGGCAAGCGTTGCCGGTGCAACACTCCACGATTGAGTTTGAATCTTGCAACACACACAAAGGCTGCTGCACACGCAACAAATTGTCGCATGTCCCCTTCCCTGGACTGCTCCTCCCTTCACACTTTACTCCGAGCGCCACGGTCTCCTTTTCTATGATAATACTTGATCGGCATAAAATATTTTCTCTCATCCCGGATCTACATCCCACACGCTCGGCCTTCCTCCTCCTCCTGTTACAATAAAGTGAACCAACTCTCGAGCTCAGCACGCATGGCCCTCGCCCGCTCACTTGCTGCAGTCACATCTCAGCAATCAGCTACAGTGTTGCGCAGCCTCGCCAGGTGGGCCGCCGCTCCCTCGGCTGCTGGCTGCCGCGCCCTTGGTCATGCTGCGTGCATCAACATGTGTCTCGTCTGGCGCTGGCTGGTACCTTGTGCCTCAAAACACATGCATACCCATCTCACATGATCCTTGAAGTCTTATTTCCCATCCATCACTTCTCCTGCGGGCCGTGCGCTGCTCCCTCCCCCGCAGCATCGCCGCTGCGCACGGCGCGCCATCAGCCAGCGAGCCTGGCAGCCTCCGCGAGCTGCTGTGGGGTGCGGCTGGCGAGCGCCCTTCTGACCAGCAGCAGGTGCACTACCATTATAAGGAGCTCTACGCCCATCACCAGCAGCAGCGGCAGCAGGAGCACTACCACCAGCAGCAACAGCACCATCAGCAGGACGACGATGCGCCTTCCGTGCGCGGCGCGATCCGGCGCTGCGCCAGCCGGCTGATGTTTGGGCTAGCCCCGGGGACGCCGGTGTCTGTAGAGGGCGCGCTGCAGCCCAGTGGCCAGGTGCGCGCTCGTGCGCCGGCGGGGGGAGGCGGCTCCGTGGTCGTCGGGGTGGCCCCCTTCACGCACCCTGAAGTAGCAGGGAGCGAGTGCAGGCGCATGGCTGGCACGGTCTTGGGGTGCAGCCGCTTGGCGGCTGCGCCAATGTGGTTGCAAAGCCCGAGCACCTTCAGCCCTCACTTTTTGGATGTTGGTGCATTCCAAAACCCCAGGCGCGCGTTGTGACGGAGGCGACCTACCCTTACCGCGTGGTGCACGCCAACGAGGCGTTCCAGCGCGCATCCGGCTGGGCCCCCTCGGAGGCGCACGGCGCGCCGCTGCCGGTGCTGCTCAAGGGGCCCGAGACAGACCCCGCGGCGCTCAACCAAATCCAGGAGGCGGCCGCCGCGCGGGCTCGCACCTGCGTCGTTTGCGTCACCTACAGGTGTGCAGCCCCACCTCGCGGGGGCCTTCGGGCGCGCGCGCCGCTGTGTGACCCACTTGCCGACCCATGCACATTCCCATGCCCATCATCCAGGGTCCACGCGCCCGTTGTTATGCTTGAATATCATCAAGCCTCCAGAACAGCATTGATGATCAATGCCGCCTTGCTTACCCGCCTCTGCAGGAAGGATGGCTCATCCTTTCTGAACCACCTCCAGCTGTCACCGCTGTATGACACCGTCGGCCACGTCAGCCACCTGCTGGCGGTGTCGATGCCCCAGGATCTCGCGCCCGGCGGCGCCGACGGGCCCTCGTCCGAATGAGCTGCGCCCCAGCTCTCCAGCGCGCCCAACGGCGGCGCTGAGGGCTGTCATACAGGTGTCAGCGCTGGCAAGGCTTGGCCACGTGCATGAGAGCACGTTCGCCTGCCGCGTTTTGACTTCATGCAAGGCGCGAGCCTGTGTGAACTGGCCGCTGCCGGTTGTATGACATCGTGTTTGGTGTCTCTTTGCAGGGCCTTTGTTAGCTTAGAGGCTCCCACCGTATTTATGTAGGCTCTCCTTGTGCGCCGGCACCGTTGCGCGGCTGAGGAGGGCAGCGCAACGCCATTTCCTAGCTGCAGGCACCGCAACCAACCTCTGCGTATGGGGATCTGGCGCGCTGACATCAACAGCGACAGTTTTTGCACTCGTCAGCTGAGCCCATTCGATGGCCGAGCACCACACCCTCCTCAAGCACCACCTGTGCGGCTGCCCGAGCGGGGACCGCCCATGCCGCTTCTATTGCAGAGGCATGAGTGGCTGCCGCCGCTCGCGGCCGCGTGGCCACCCGCTTTTGGCGACGGGCCGCACATGCGCATGCTGCGCCAGCGCAGGCAGGGTTGCAACACGTGCCCCGATGTGAAGGGGCAGCGTGCGTCGTTTCTAAGGCTCACGTTGGCATGCCGTTGGCCAGCAAAGCACAGTATTTTCCAGTGTTTTGCCTCGAACGTGGGCCGCCGTTCCTGCCACCTGTTTGGGCGCTGCCCCTGTGCATTAAGCAGGAGCATGCTACATACAGGGCTTGCAGCACAACAGTGGTTTTTTTGGCACACCGTTGGCCGCTGCAACCACGTGCCGCACCTGACACCACACGCGCTTTGCTGGAGCGGCGGTTGGGCCTTTTGATGCTCTATAATGCCGGTTGCGGCCCCCTGGCTGCACTGGTCCTCCTTGTTGTGTGTGTGCAGCAATGAGGCTGTGAAATGACCAGCCTGCAGTGCTTGCGTGTTTTGCTTTTGCTTGCTTTTCCTGTACGAGACTGCTGCCTTGCCTTCATAACTTGCCCTTGACCATGGCTGCGTGCATCGCTGCTTTCGTTGGTGGGCCAGGCTACCAGCTCCTTTGGGGATTGCAAGCAGCTGTGCCGAAAGCCTCGCCTATCCGTGTGTGCAGCGATGCATGCGCCAATGAAGCAGCGGCTGCTGAGCTTGATGGCGTCAACATGGACTGCGATCATACTCGCAACCTCTTCATCATCCCCATCATCACATCCACGCTCCTCCGCCCTAGGAGCTGCCAATTGATGTCATGATGATGAAGGTATCTTGCGACGGCCCATGCTTGCAAGTTGCACGGCACCATCACGTTGCGCCGCCAAGCCCAGTAACACGGTGATTTCAAGCGCCCTGTATAACAGGGCGATCATCGAAGCTGGGGCAGCTTCGAGCGTCATGCTCAAGCGTAACGACTGCAGCAGCGCCAGCATGATCGCATGGCAAAACGACAGACACCACACCGTTGTCATTCTCAGCCAGCGCAAGCAGCTGCTACGGGGCAGACACTGCCACCAGTATGCTGATATGCATGTATGTTGTGCAACCTCCCGCAACTTGATCAACACATGGCACGTCGGCGGCGCCAGGCAAGGCAGGCAAGCGGCTGACACCCTCCCCCAAGCTCCGGGTCGGCGCGTCACAGCAGCTCCAGCACCTTCTCCGCGCGGCTGCAGGTGAGGCCGCCGCCGCCCTCCAGGTTGAGGGCCTTGATGACGCCGTCCTCAAAGAGCGCCGCGTAGCGCTGGCTGCGGCTGCCCAGGCCGAAGCCGCGGCCGTCCATCTCCAGGTCCATGGCCTGTGCAGGTGGGTGAGTGTGTGACACAGGGAAAGTTGCTTTCAGAGTGCGGAATTTCGAGGTTTGCGGAGTGCAAGAGCACGCGCACGCATGCATGTGTGCGCACACATGCGTGGATGCCCATGCAAGCCAACACGCGCACGCACATTGCACCAAGGTTTTGGTTGTGAGTTTGGATATGCGCATGCCCCGCATGGTGACGGGGAGACAAGACAACCAGCCGCCCGGTCAATTCCCACCTTCGTGAAGTCCCCGTTGCCGTCTGACAGGAAAACGAGCTCGTCGCCGGCCCCCAAGCTGTCGGCCCAGGCCTTCATCACGAAGCTGTCGTTGACGCTGACGCACCTGCCCGGGGAGGCGCGTGTGAAGGCCGTGGCGTGCGGCGCTATGGAGAGGTCAACGCAAGGGGGAGATCGGGCGCAGAGGGGCTTCGATGCAGGCGAACAAGTGCAGGCGAAAGCAGACAGAGGGGTGGGTGGCCAAAATGGAGGGGTCCTCACGCAATGAGGTCGACGCCCTTGGCCTTGAGCTCCTTTGCGTTCTTGATGAACCCAGGGGCGTGGTCCTTGCTGCAGGAGTTGGTTACAGGTTGCGGTGGCTGAATGCACAGGTTCGACATGGCAGAATTCTGGTGGACAGGCAAACATTGGGGTGGCGCACCGCAGCTGGCGGAACCCACGTGGCCAGCGATGCACCCCTCCCACCTGCATGTCGGCGTGAAGGCACCGGGCACTGCAAACAGCACCACCTGCGCATGTGGAAATGGGAGAAGACCAAGTTAGCGGGCAGGCACTTGTGTTGTGAAACACCTGCCCCGACCACAGAGGGCACCGCCAGCCATGGAGTGGGTTTCTTGCGTTGCCATGTCAGGCTGCAAGCAGTCAGGCTGTATGTCAGCAATCATCAGTGTCAGAATAATGGGGACCTTGCCTTCTTGCCGGCGAAAAGCTCATCCGTCTTCACATCCTCAAAGTCCAGGGTCTTCACGGTGGCACTGGGAACCTGTGCAACACCGAGGGCCCAAGCGCGATTGCAGCACCGGTAGTGTGCGTCGCAACGGTAGACGCATCGCCGTGCAGCGCTGAGCCTCATGCAGAACGTGCAAAGCATGGGCGACCTGTGCTGCCATGCACCTGTCGTCGCTGCCGCAGCAACGGTGATCAGTGGCGCTGCGGCGGCGTGCACCGACAGTGATCACCAGCTCATGTCGTCAGCCCAACCACGAGCAGGATCGATCGCGCGGGCGCACCTTGTCTCCAACCTTCACCATTGTGTCTTTGATATACCGAGACGCGGGCAGGCAAGGTCCAAGATCAGAAGGGAGGAACCCGCGTGAGTGCGTGAGTGATATGATCAGCAATGGGGATGTGTCGATGTGATATTCTGGTATCAGCGCGTCAGGTGTCGTTTCTTTTGTACAATAAGGGGGTCGTCGTCACCAGGGCATCAGTCAGAGCAATCCTTCGTAATAGGGGCCACATTCCGTTGTTGAAGCATGCATCAGCTTGGTCTGAAACACTGCGTTTCTCTGCCACGCGGACAGCCTGCGCTGTGCTGCGCATCGGGGGCGGCGCACCGAAATGTTGCCCGGCACGTTGCGCTGGTGCGCGCATACACAGCAGTGGACCAGCTCAACACAGCAGCCATCTTCCAGCCACCGTTGGTTGACATCAAGGGGTTGCTCAATGGAGAGCTGCCCACACAAGCTGCAATCAACCAGGCAAGGCCCAAGGTCACCCTGAGGGTGACCTCATACGAGCGCATCACAAGCCATCCATGCCTCCTACATTTACGACTTGTGCCGTGCGCAGGTCAGGGCCGAGTGCGAGGCGACAGGATTCCTGGCCTTCACAGGCCATGGCATTACTGAGCCGCAGCTGCGCCTGCTGTTTGCATCGGCCAGGGCGCTGTTTGACCAGCCTTTAAGCGTCAAGCAGGCATTGGTCGTCGGTAGCATGCTGAGCGGGCGTGGCTACGAGATAAGCCCTGAGCACAAGGAGTTCATGGCGGCCTTCAAGAAGAGCGGCGCAGCTGCTGCTGCTGCCGCTGCTCCTGCTGCTCTTCCTCGTGCCGCCGAAGCAGAAACAGCGAGGGCGACGGCCGCTGCGGACGATGCAGAAGCGTGGGTGGTGGCCACAGCGAGAGGCGCTTCGAACGGCACCATCGTGGCCGGCGATTTTGCACACGCCAGCAGCAGCAGCAGCAGCAGCAGCAGCAGCCGCAGCAGCAGCCGCAGCAGCAGCAGCAGCAGCAGCAGCAGCAGCAGCAGCAGTGGGGTTGGCGCATTGGCGCCCGAACCCTCCGCTTTAGAAGGAATTCTGTCAGAGCGGTTCCTGTGCGGGCCACCTTTGACAGAGGACGAGTGGTCTGACGAATACCACTCACAAGGCCTGGGCCCCATCTTTTTTGCTCCCGATGCTTGGCCGGCCGAGGGCGACGCGCCTGGCCTCCGCGGCCACATGCAGGCCTGCCACGAGGCGATGACCCGGGTCGCGGGCGCGACGATGCGCCTGATCGCGGCGGCGCTTGGGCTGGAGTGCGGGTTCTTCGACGACATGACGCGCCGCCACTGTTCCAACCTGCAGGCATGTACTTTGTTGTTGCGCCTGGTGAAACTGCACTGGCAACATGCCCGGCGCTGGGAACTGGACGGGGTGAAAGGGAAGCTATGCTGCTGGCGTCCTGGCACGGGTACGCCCTTGTGTGTTCCGCGGGCCGCTGGCGTGCCTGTGAGAATTAAAACGCCTTTCCTTCATCCGCCCACATCAGGTGGCCAACTACCCCACACAGCTGGTTGACCCCTCCAGTTTGGGGCCGGGGCATATGCGCAAGAAGGCTCACACAGACTCGGGACTGCTGACCCTGCTGGTATCAGAGGACTGGCTGCCCAGCAGCGGGTGGCGTGCTGGGGACGGCGGGCTGCAGCTGCTCAACGCACGCGGCGAGTGGGTGGAGGTGGCCGTGCCAGAAGGTGAGGAATAAAGTGCTGGACTGCCCTTTTGTCTGATTGTCAAGATTGCAAGTCCAGTCTCTGATGGCTCATCCAAGGAATCTCGCCGCACCTGCCAAGGTCTGATGCACCAGCCCACCCCTGCCCGCTACAATTACCCCGTCCTCCAGGGGCACTGCTGCTCAACCTGGGCTCGCTCCTCACCCGCCTGACAAACGGCCAGTGGAAGTCTACCCTTCACCGCGTCACCAACCCCACCGGCACGCAGCAACACTTGCAGCGGCAAGGAGATAACCACCACCAACAGCAGCAACAGCAGCAGCAACAGCAGCAGCAACAGCAGCAGCAACAGCGGCAGCAGCAGCAATCTACGCGCCGCCTCTCGGTCGCATTCTTCTACAAGCCGGCGTACGATTCCGTCATCGACGCCGTCCCAACCTGCCTGGACCCTGCAAAACCCAACGGCGGCCGCTGTTTTGAACCCGCACTGGCATCAGACCTGACGCGGGCAGGGGTGCTGCACAAGTTTGCCCACCTGCCACCAGAGGAGGCCAGCCGCCTCTATCACCAGCACATGGCACAGATACGCGCCGCCTGATGGCGCCGTTGGGAGGGCACGTCACAGACATAGATGCGCGTCGGCAGCATCGCTGGCAGCTTGGCCAGCTGCTGGCACCTGGACACGATTCAGATTGGATAGGGACGCTTTTCGGCATGACTTGACCTGGCACATCTTTTTTTGATGACCAAGTAACAATGGCGGGGGATGTGCCTAGAGGTCCCAACTCGGGTGTGCACAGCAAACGTTCGCCGGGGTTGTAGCCTTGAGAAATGACCAGACTGGCGGCTAGGGTGGCCTGGACTGCCACGCGCAAGGCAAAATCGCGACACCTGACCCGCGCACACTGGGGCGGCGTCATTGTCGGTTGCCCTGGTGGATGGCATGTAATGCGCTATGCGCATGGCATGGGTGAGCAGCCCCTGGCAGGAATCAGTCACAGATGTGCTTGGTCGGCGGTACAGCTGGCGAGGGGCCCAGGTTCCGAGCCGGTGTGTGTGGCAAGGCCCGCCCGCTTGGCAAAAGCGCCTGCTGCCAACGTCTGATGCACGTCACACATATTCCGTATGACTGGTGCAAATAAAACTACTGTATGTGAGCGAGGTGGTGGCCACCACCCGTAATCAATTAACCATGCAGTGTGCTGCAGCGAAGTGAGGGTTGCTCTCACAAGTTGTGGTGCATCGAGCGTGCAGCTGCAGCCTGCGGCCTGCGGCACAGCTGCGGCGCCACGCTGTGAGCACTTCACAGCATCCGACATGAGTTAAGCTTTGAGTTCCTACCGTGCTCTTCAATTCCCAACAGCCTTCGAGAATAACAGACGGATGGAGCCAGTGAGATACCTCGTCTTGTCTGTACTCAGCGCCCCCGTCAATTCACCTTGAACCAACTGTCCGCCAGCCGAAATGCCGCCGCATGGTCACCCAACGGCTCCATTGCCGTTGCTGCGGCCGTTGGGCGTCGGCGCCGCCGACCTGCCGAGCGTGGACTCGCGGCTCAGCACCAACACGTCCCCGTCGCCGCTTTCCCGCCTCATCGGCGGCCCGTCCAGGGGGGCCCGTCCAATCTCAGGCTGTGCCCGCGGCTGCAAGCGGCTGTGGGGGTCAGCCGTCCCCTCTGCAAACACCAGGTGCCGCGGCCAGGCGCCGGCGCCCGCAGCAGGGCCGATCTCGTCTTGCGGCTGCGGGCCGCCGCCCCATGCACGGTCAGCCCGCACCGCTGCGTGGCTGCCACTGCCGTCGCCCGCGCTCTCAGGTGCGCCGGTGCCGTTGGCGCTTCGGCGCGTGGGGGTGGAGGTGCCGGAGCCCACCACCAGGCGGGGCGGGGGATCATGGGCACTGTGGGCGCCTTGGACGGCGCTTGCATCAGCAACGCGTGCGCTACCGTTGCAGCCAGTGATGCAGCGAGCGAATCGCTTGACCTTCTGTGGGGATGGACAGGCAGCGGCATTTGTGGTGGTGTTTGTATTTATGTGTGTGTGTGTGTGCGTGCGTGCGTGCGTGCGTGCGTGCGTGCGTGCGTGCATGCGCGCGCGCGCGTGTGTGTCTGTGTGTGTGTGTCTGTGTGTGTGTCTGTGTGTGTGTCTGTGTGTGTGTGTGTGTTGCTTGGTGAGGGCTTTCACAAATGGATCAACCATCTCATGACACAACAAAGTGGCAGCGAGAGCGACAGCCAGCAACGTGGGAAGCGCTGCCAAAGTGGCGTCATGGGCCCCCCTTGGGCGCTCAAAAGGTCCGCGATCTCACCATGAAGGCTTCCGGGTTCTTGCGCATGTTGTAGACTGCCAGCAGCAGCAGACACACGCCCATCGCAATGCACAGGATGTACCTGTCCGGAATGGGGGAGATGTGCAGGGCGCGCACTTGCTTGCATCAAGATGTGTTGCAAATAGGCTGTGTATAGAGAACAGCAATGAGCAGCATTACTGACGTAAGACAGGTGGTGGGCAAGACCTGGGCAGCCACCTGTGGCGGCGCATCCACAGCAGCCTGCGGGCTCACCAGAGGCCTGAGACCTGGCGGAACTCGATCTGGGAACCGGTAGAGCCGTGGCCGCCGCCGCTGCTGCTGGTGAAGCACTTGTCGGTGCCGCCCGTCTTGATGTACCTGCGCGAGGCGCGCGGGGCAGCCGCAAGGGAGCAGCGCCCGTGTCGCAGGAGGGTGCCAGGAGTTTGCTCAGACACGCCATGTCAGCCAACCAAGTTGCTACCGCATCGGCACCGAATCGGGCCCAGGAGTGCCTGTGAGGCAGCCCCCCGATAAAAAAAGCCTTGGCTTAGTTTTTCAAGACCACGCATCCGCGGCGCGCGTCCTCGTGCAGTCTGGCTGGTGCTCACGTGTTCTCCAGCATGTCCAGCGCCCCCTGCTGCGTCTGCAGCCGCACGATGGCCTCGTTGAGCGCCGTTATGGTGGCGTCTGGAAAGCTGCTAGGGAAGGCCAGCGCCAGGGAGAAGGTCTCAAAGGTGTCCCCAATCACAAATAAAGTGCAGCTCTCATCCGTGCCTGGGTTTTGACAGCGAGGGACGGGGGTTCAAGGAACCTGAACGGCGGCTGTGTATTTGAGGCAGCATGTTGTGAGTGCCCACCGCCAGCACTCAGCGGCGCCGGCCCCAAACGCTTTGCGCTCCCCCCCCCCCCCGGGAGTCTGTTGAGCGCGGTGGCGCACCTGCCAGGAACTCGACAATGGACTTATCGAGCACGAGGGCCTGCGAGACCCCTTGCCTCAGCCGCTCCACCATCACCGCGGTGTCCTCGTCCGACTCCCTGGGGCACGCCCGCGGCCAGGAGCGCAACACAGGCTTCATCAGCAGCAATGAGGTTCGAGCCCTTGGCAGGTTTGTTTGGCTGCTGCGTGAGCATCGCTTGCGGGACAGATGCAAGGCACCAGCAATGCAGGCGCGCCTGCCGAGGCCGGGGCTGGGAAGCCAGCCGGCAGCCTCCTCGCTGACGCTGCGCTGAAGGCGGCGGCGCGCCCACCAGGGGTGGCCGGTGGCCGCGATGTTGTGCCGCTGCTTGAGCATCGTGACGTAGCCCGACCAGGTGTCAACGATTACGCCAGCTGCGCCCGTGATGTCGGCCTTGGAGTAGACGCTGCTCTTCAGCGATACCTGGGGGCGAGAAAGCGTACGCCGGCCGGCCGATTTGGTGCGCGTCGATCAGCGGCTTCCATGGGGCGTGCTAGCGCGATTTGATGTGCAGCAAAGTCGTGCCGGGTCACCTCTGTCAAGTTGCTGGCGCTGATGGCAGTGTACATGAAGACCATCACCATGACGAGGAACCCGTCTGCCGCGCCAAAGAGGGGGCGGGGGTGGGGGAGGTTGCGCATGGACGGAGGCGCATGTGAGGTCATTAGCGGCCTGACAGGGAGGCCAGAGCTGCGCGGAGTGTCTGCATGACAGCGGTCGCACATCCTTGTGATGCACGCCGACAGTAGGGAACCCTGTGTGTGCTGCAGAGGGTGCTGTGCTGCTGCCCCCTGGCGCAGCTCACATCCCATGAAGATGATGCGCGAGGCCCACGTCTGCAGGGGTGAGGCAGTAGGAAAGGGGGGCAGGTGCGTGGGGCAGCTAGCATGCGGAGCGGCTCCCAGGCACAAGCGGCTCCAATATCGGTCAACAAACCTGTGTTCCGGGGTGAGCCTGTCCCACGGGC